GATCTGAGTCTGCAGCGCTGCCCTTCCGGTGTTATAGTTGTCCTTTGATGAAAAAATGAAGAAAAATGAAGAAACAGACTAATTGCACACTTGACTGAAAAAAGGAAAAAAGAAGTTTGGCTTGTTGTGCCGGCAAGTTTGGAAAGAGGACCTTATGGGCGGGTGCTGAGATATAATCACTTTGAACTGAAAAACAGAGATTTTCTTTTGCACTGGGTTCTGGGAATAAGCGCCTCATTGGAGCCTCGCTGCATATTCGGGGGCGGTGCTTTTTTTTCGTCCCATAGGCAGCGCTAATTCGCCTCATTGACGGCGGCGCTTTTTCGAGTAAATACGGTAGTCCTTGCTGGTTTTTTAATGGCAGGTAAAGATTATTATAAAACCCCCCTTAATGATCTCCAACTTTTTTGTTTATCATTTTCATGGTAATATTGATTTTTTTTGGTAAATAACTGTCATCCCAAAATTAGTTCATGGTGAAAAATTAGTGTTGACTTCGTATATGTCATACATGCTGTCCAATTTGGAAATAATTGGATGAAAAAAATTCCGAGGACAGCCAAAATTAGACGAGGCCGTAGGCCGAGTCCATTTTGGCTGTCAGAGGAATTTTTTGAATTCAATTATTTCCAAATTGGACAAGCATGAAGTCCTCTTACTTATTAATTATATAGCTGGTTAGTTAATACAGATTTTTAGCGTGTCACAGACGCGAAATATTGTACACTCGAACCGTTTGTCTGCAAGATCTAAAAAATGCTTATTCTTATGGTGTCATTCAACTTATTCTTTACAATAAAGAAACGTAGAACTAGTATTGCTCTTTCACACTTTGCCATTTTGTTGCCACTTAAAATTTTGAAAGCTCATTCTCAATGATCTGAATGATACGGTGTTACATGTAAAAAATCCGGCAAAATTTCGAGTACAAAGAAGACAAAGCAACAACGCAAATTCTTAATTTATATACAAAAACTATTGAAAATAAACATTTCATTCATTACCTCAAACCATTTCAGCAGACTTTGTCCGTTTGTTTTTGTAATACCAAGATCTAAACACAAGTATCAGTGTTTTCTTATTCTTGTCCAAAGTTTCAGTGCCTGTACATTTTCAAGAATCTATGCGTTGATTGTTTCCGATACAAACTTTCATCAGTTTGGTCATGCATTTTCCTTTTAATTGGCCCAGACAAGAAGCCAAAACAAAACAGCAGCAAAACAAAACGACATCCACAGCAACAAGAAGCCGAGAGTGTTCGCCGACGAACCGCCGTAAGCCAACGAAACTTTTTTTGACGCGTTGTCACAAGGACTTTGCGCTGATTGGCTAGAATGCATTGCCTATTGTATTTTCTGGCATTTGATTAACTCACACCAGCTGTCCTATTTTTCTTAAATTGGATAGTTTGCCTATTTGCAAAGGAAAGCCCTATCTGAAACTATCCAAATTAATCCTTAATTGGACAGTTCGTAAAAATTAAAGGATAATAGCTTTGCTGACAATATCGGATTAACTAACAACTATATAATTAATACGAAGAAGACCAATTACCTACAGAAGAGTGGGAATGCTTACCAAACGCCCCTCAACTTTGTTCAGTACAGGATTGAATTTAATTCCATAAAACATCAACATTGCTTTAGCTTTCACAATACGAGCTGTTGCGTCACGTTCAATCCCGCCAATGTACTGGGAGAGCTCAAACTTCCTTTTAGTAATGGGACTAAAATATGCAAAATTTTAAGTCGATTAATAAACAAGCCATGAATTTAGTAACAAGCTTATAGCAAAAGTCCTTGGCTGAATTTAATGATAATAATAATAATAATAATGATAATAATAATAATAATAATAATAATAATAATAATAATAATAATAATAATAAAATTTGATAGGTAAGCCACAATAATACAGACCCCGTTAACACGGGTTCGGACAAATTTTTGAAAGGACGAAATTTAATTTTTACATGTACAAACTGTTTATAATAATAATGATAATAATAACAATAATTATAAAAGTAAAGTAAAATTATCATAAAAAATCTCGCAGAATCCTTTGAGGAAATTTTTTAAAAAGCTCTATAACTCTGACATTTTATACGTACAAGACTGTCAGACCACAACAAGATAAGATTTGCCATAAAATATCTTCCCAAGTCACATCTAAGGTAATGACGTCATCAGTCACTTGACTATTTCCGAATTAGGTTTTTTTGTTGCTGTGACAAGATTTCATCAACGAGTTAAAAAAAAATAGCATATTTGAGGTTAAGTTGTGTGGGGCATTTAAAAATAACCAGTTGACGTCCGGTATTTAAAGTTTAAGGGGGTAATGAACATGGGCGAAAAATTCGGGAGCCTAGGCGAAGGGCTGTAGAGAGTCAACCTTTTATCACACGGCAGAGAAAATTTGCGGGAAAGTAATGTTCTACCTGATAATTTTTTCCACGACCAAAGAGGGACATGACGTCATCAGTCATGTGATCAAAGCCTTTTGAATGTTTTAGTTCATTTTTTAAAGTATCTTTTTTGTCATAAATTGGCAAGTTTTTGCTGTTTTTCTCAACAATTCTTTGCACTGTATTGTCTCTGAGTAGTTAGTATTCCATTTTCAAAGCAGAACCAAACGAAAACTGAGCCAGAAGTTTAAAAGTTGCTTAAATTGACCGATATTGCAAGTTAAAATCGAAAAGGAGACCTACTCTTGGTGTTTCGTTCATATCCAGTCTTTTGCGGATTGACAAATTTTGGTTTTCCTCATTTAGTTCGAGGCAGGGGCAATCGAAGATCGTTGGAACGTCTTGTGTTATATGAATGAACAGTTTGATTTTGATAAAATTAAAGTTAAAATCAGTTTCTCCAATCAGACACTTACAATGCAGTGGATTACAATGTAGCGATGAAAAAAACCTCCAGTAGACGGTGGCTTGAGATCTAGACTTTTAAGCACTTCGGTTGACGAGCTTTGGGGTGGGTGTCCCAGCAGAACTTTAGCAGCTTTTATTCTGAAGGATCTGTAATCCTGACATTGTGGTGTCATTGTTCTTATGTCCCCATATAGTGTCTCCGTAATTAAGTGTGGGGAGTCAGGATTAGGGCATTGTGTAAGCTAACCCTTATTGTAGAGGCAATAAATGTAGATCCCTGATTCTCCTATTTGAGGGATAGGAGACTAAATAGAAGTGCGATTATCATAGCTGTACCAGACGGGTTCTTTATCTAACCACATCTCATTTTGGATCGATAAACAGTCGGTATTTACATTGTGGGTGGTATTTACATTATCTTCAGTTCAATAAATGTAATACCCACTATAAATGTGATAAAAAAAACCAACCATAGATGTAATAAATCAGTGACCATAAATGCAATAAAATTTGACTATAAATGTAATAATTTTGGCTCACAATAAATGTAATAACCTTTAACCATACATGTAAAAAGTATATTAGAAAATCGTATTAATGCGAGTACATTTCGTTATTTGTTGCACGAACTCAGTGATGTTTTGGAAGTTATTAAAAAATTACATAAGCCGGCTGTCAGCCAATTTTGAATGTGTTTTTATTTCACGCTTCCTCGCTATCCTTTCCAACGAAACTTCGGCATTGCATTGTATAACCTCAGGAGCCCTTCTCTGATAACCTTTGTCGGCACTCTATATAAAGCTGTTACTGCTTTTCTCGTTGACCAATCAGAAACTTCATGTTTGGTTTAGTAATTATTATAAGTGGATTATAATCATGAAATGTAGCTTATGATTACCACATAGTTGTCATCAGGGGTCAAACAGCAACTTTTTTAAGGTGGCTCAAAGGAGTATTATTTTAAAGTATGATAATTGTGCGTCCTGTTTATTTTCCCATGGACCCGATTTTTTATTTTCATAACCAAACAAATTAGCTATCAAATTTTCAAATGGTTTTTCTTCGTATGGGTAACTAGCGCGGGTATGGGAATAAGGTTATAAGCCAGTACTGCGAGGGAGTTCAACTCGCCTGCTGAACATGAGAAACCTGAAGTTTTATTCATTTTCTATTTTTTATTACGCATTTTTTTTGGAAGTAAACTTTTCAAATATCTTGCCATTTTAAAGGAAGGAACCTGTAATCTCGGCTGTAGGCCCCTATTTCAGGGACTTGAGTGCTCAGCTTTAGAAATGCTGAAATGCTTCATCAGAAATGCTTGAAATGTTTCATCATATGAAGAATTTATAAACAGACGTTTGTTTAACTATGTCTCATATAACTTAATAAGTTTCTTTGGTCCGTGTTCTCTTCCAGAAAGAGGTAAATCAATGAACACCTTAATGAAACATACCCCCCCCCCCCCCCCCCCCCCCCCCCCCCCCCCTCTTTTTTTTTTTTTCACATTTTTTTTTTTTTTTTTTTTTCCTCTTTTTTTTTTTTTTTTCTTTTTCTCTTGTTTGTTTTTATAAAAAAAAAAAAACACACACCACCCCCCCCTTCCCTTTTTTTCTAAAAAAAAAAAACTATTATTTTATAAAAAAAATATAACCCCCCTCCCCTCTTTTTAATAGTCCTACCGAGTCTTTTATGTCTTTCTGGCCTCAGACTGTATTGGTCTCTCCTCTCTGGGGACGTTGTACGTAGAAATAAAACAATCCCCGAATCACCCAATCCCTTCTGACTTTTAAAACAAAAATTACTCTTCAATTATTATAAAAACATTATCTGACAACCTTCTAGCAGTCAAAAACTTCGTTTTATGATAATATTTCATTTGTTACATTTATGGATAATTTTTATTACATTTATGGTGAGCCAGATTATTACATTTATGTTTAATAATTTATTATATTGATGGTGGGTATTTCATTAATGGTTGACTTTTACTACATCTATGGTTAGTATTACATTTATGGTAAGTTCAATGAAACAGGAATATATCTCATATTACCCAGTTACCTATAAACGGTTTGATTAATGAACTGATGAACTGCTCTAATTACTTTAATTATCAATATAGAATTCAGAAAATATATTTTAGCTTGTTTTGATGTTCGTGACAAATTATTATCAAGGTAACGTAATTGCCCTTTGATATAATTTTGACTCCTAAAAAAAGCTTTTGCAATACTGGAAGCTCATTGTTATTATGGTCGATTATTACATTCAAGGGTGATACAAATATTTGAACATGAATGACTGTGTTCTTTCAATACAAGTGTAATCTAATTGAACCGAAAAGTCTTGAATACGATTCAGTTTCTGATGACTTCCAAAGGTAACAAAATTACATTTGGTCTTATTTAGAGTAAGGAGATTTCTAGTCAAGAGAACCACTCGAACCCCCTTTTTTGAGTCAGCATATGTGACTTTCAAGATCACTAACTTTTTGGATGAGTCGGAGATTCAGTATCGTCCGCATAAAGAATAATGTCACTCGCAAATGACAATCCGGAAGGTCGTTGACATAAAACAAAAAAAGCGTGGGGGCCCATTATGCGTTGTTGGAGTACTCTAACAGTCATTTCGGTCGGTGCAGAGTGCGCATCTCTAACTGATGTGATTGTGACCTGTTTTTAAGGCAAGACCGATTTTCATCAGTGTTTGTAATAGCAGATGATAATCTACGGTATCGAAGGCCTTAGAAAGGTCCAGAAAAAAACTCCTGTAAAACAACCAGGGTCCATATTCTGAAGGATATTGTCTAGGACATGAGCCAAGGCTGTCCCCGTTGATAACTCAGGTCTAAACCCAAATTGTTTGGAAGTAACAATTTCGTTGTTCTTTAAATAGTTGGGTGTGGACCACTTTTTCTAGGATTTCACTTATTGTTGGCAGCACAGTAATGTAGCTGTAGTTTTGCATCGCAAAAAACACCTTTCTTAAACAATGCTTTCACTTTTCCAAATTTTCAAATAGAGGGGAAGGTGCGAGCTTCAAGAGAGAGATTGAATAATCGCGTTAGACTGGCTCCTATCACTTAGGCTGAATCTGACGCGCACTAGTGTTAATATCTCTCAATTCATTAGGAAAGTCCTGCTTTGAATAACTCTTATATGACCGGTATTCAGTGGTTCTTCCAGGGGCCTTAACAACACCTAATTTGATAGCACAAAAGATCAAACAATAGTCGCCTAGAGGTGATGGGATAACGAATTGGTCAATAACGCGATGAGAAGCCGAAACGTGTAAACTCTGTCACAGCTCCAGGTTGCAGTACTGTTTTCCGCTCAAAAACATGATCGGTTTAGCAAGTCCCGTGTAAACGGCGCGGAAGGCGGATCCGTGCAAGGTTTTGTCTGTTCAAAAATTTGTCCCCTTTTCATGCCTCAAAACAAACAACCCCTTTTTAATGGACAATTTCTGGAAAAAATGTAAATGGAGAGAATATAAATGAGTAATACCGGCCAAGAGTTGTACATGTAATCTTTCTTGCTATTAATTGTCTGGTCATTTGTATTTTTATAGGCAAAAAAGGTACTTTAAGCAGAATTATGCAACTAAGAAATTATCAAGTACATTTGGTACCTAAGGATTACAGGCTGGTTAATCTTTCTCAAAATGTCATCTTTGCTCAGCTGATTAATTACAATCTCATCAAAGGACCAAAGCTCCAATAAACCAATAGCCATGCAAGCCGAACCAAGCCTAAATTAAAAAGAAAGAAAGAAATTAACAGTGATTATCACAATTAATGACCAAATATTCTATTAAGTTACGTTTTGTAGCTGCCTACTTGAATCTAAGTGCATGCTTCTGCCTTTATCCTGAGCGAGAAAGAAGTGTTATTATATGGGTAAAACGAACAGGAGAAATTAAGCTACGAAAGGAAAAGGTTTTCCAGGATTCAACTCTGAGATAGGTTAAAGAAAGAAAATTATTTACGTCTACAATAGAGTATGATTGAGAAAATAATCAGTGAAGAATTGATGGCTCTGGATCATATTTAGTCTATACTTATGCACCAGTCTATTCTAGCTGCGCCCATCTAGCAATAATAGATCATATTAATATTAAAATAATCACGTCTAAGTCATATTCAAATCTCCGATAAACAGAAATTTTATTCATCAATTAATGTTGATAGCTCCCACTTTTGATATGTAAGGTCTGTCAGGATAAGCAATGAAGAAATGCACAAAAAAGAGAAAACACACCATTACAAACCTCTCTACAAGTTTTTTTTTCCACTCCTTGACCGATGAGCCAATTATCTGCCAAATCTTTCATCTTTAGCTATGCTAAAAAACTCGGGGATGGCCCTTGGGTTGGCGCATACCCAACCGCTGAGGCATACAAAATTTGCACCGCCATCCAGACTGACAAAACGCCTTAAATGCCCACCAAATGCCTGGGAAGGGAGGGGGGTGGTCATATCTGGAATTGAAGGATACTGGTTTTGGTGCCAAAAATATTTTGATCTAGGACCTAACGTATCGCAGGCACAGTTTGCAGAAAGCTTGAAGTTATTTTAATCTTCCTTCCTAGCAGTAGCACTGTTGTTATAAAATCTGCACACTACTACTCACCTAAAACATATTTTCTCCCAGGCTATTTCTGTCCCATTACCAATCTTCTTCACCTTTTTGTGAATCATCAGTGCCTGAATGATGAAAGAAAAATAAATCGGATCATCCATGGGACATGATACAAGTCTATGCTTGAAGGCCTGTTATACAGCTATTTCGAGAAAGGTTGTCGGAAAAAGTGCACGCGACAATCCCGAAAGGTATTGTGGGTGGTTTTGAGTTCACTGTTGTTCAAAGAAATTTGAAAGAATAGCACGAGAGGCCATGGACATATGTTTGCGAGTACTTAAGAAAAGCAACAACCGTAGGTTCGACGGATACTGTGTCAGGAACAGTGTATTG